AATTTTAAATAAATTGAGTGAATTCTTTTGTTGTCCTGTATATTCTCACCTTTCTTGTCAGATTTTCTCTTTAATATTAAAATTCAATTCGGGTCAATGTATGTTGTAAGAGAGTGAATTTAGAAGAGAAAGGAGGGGGAACCACCCAACAAATTTTAATGTGGAGAAAAAAGTTCATCCATTCCCCCTCCCCCCTCTCTTTTTTAACTACTCAACAACAACAACATCTCGTAAATATATCCTCATTTAGAGAAAAACTCTCAATGAGCACAACTCCGAAGGGAGGGAGGGGAGGAGGGGAGGGGGGATTTGTTTTTGCGCGAATTCATGAATGTTTGAGGGGGAGACACAAATAAAATAATTGAGGGAAGAAGATTTGAAAAGGATTTTATGAGAAAATTTTTTTCTAAGAAGATTTAGTGCAGGTAAAGGGGTAAATAAAGAAATAAAAAAACGGGGGGAGAAGCGCAAAGCATAGTTCCGCCGCCAGTCGACTGACTGGACTGTTTTTTACGATTGGATCGACTAATAAAAACGCGAGAAAAAAATAAATGGAAGAAAAAAAAGTATTATTGAACATATATAAAAGTAGAGAATGAATAAATAAAGAAAAAATAAAATAAAAATTCTTTGGCTGGATGAATGCCATTTTTGTGGGTGGTAAAGAAGGAAAAGAATATATTTTTTGTTAGACGAGAATATAAAAATAATGGGGAATTAAAGGAAAAAGAAATGTAAAAAGAACTACTAAAAAAGGCAAAGGAAGTGTAAAAGAAAAATTGTATAGGGAAGGGGGGGGGGGATTTTAGTAAACAAAAAAGCAAAAAATTCTTTTCTTTACTGGTTTTTGGAAGACCGCCATTTTTAACTAATCTTTTAATTTTTTAATCAAATTATTTTTGGAAAGGAAGAGAATTTTCTATAAAGCTTTTAAATAAATATTTTTTTGTTTCAGTTTTGAATTAATTAAAAAATAAATTATAAAAATGAGATATTAGCTGGTTTTCCCAGTAAATTCGAATTGTTTAAATTAAAATAAAATTAAAAAAGAGTTTTATAGATTTTCGCCCATTTTCCATTAAAAAATACATACACAAAAATACATTAAAAAATAAACACGTAAACCAAAGAAAATGATTAAGAAAATATTTTTTTAAAAAAACCTAAATATTATAGTAGAAAAGAATGAAATCATTCGCCCACTATAAAAAGTAGAGCAAAAAAAGAATCCAAAAACTTTTTTTAAAAGAATAAAAAATAAACAAATTACAAAAGTAAAATTGAATATTTTCTAATGTTTTTAATAAAAATTAAAATTATTAAAAGTAAAATAACAATAGGCAACAATCAAATACTAATTAATTATTTTTAAATATTTTCCACACAAAAGTGTAGTTATTAGACGCCTAAAACCGCCATTGCGTAAAAAGATGGGATAATGCTGGATGGGGTACCCTTTGTGGGATAGGTACTACTATGGGTACTATCGCATTACTTCCCATCACGTCCGCAACTGTTTGTCCGCAATGTTGAAGATGCCAATCTGTTGTAAAAGTGGTGGCCGCCTTAGACGTAAGTGTGAGATTTTTTCAGGTCTTTTATATGTATTATTTATCGGAGGGGAAGCAATCCGGATGCCTGGTTTCACGACCGAGTATATGTATAAAAGGATAAGATTTTCAGTGATAGTTACCACCCCACTTTCTTCACAACAGCGCCCATCATCCTTCTCTACTATCAACAGTGTGCCTGCTGCTCGTCGACCAATTTACAACCAACACTGCCGTTCGTTCTTCTTCGCAATCAGTTCGCTGCTCGCCGACAACTTCGTTGCAATGTCAGTCCGTCCCAGGGAAGGCGATCTGAATGTCCGCGCAGGCTTCACCTTCGAGTCAGAGAGGTACACCTACAAGCTGGAGGAGCTGATTGGCGATGGCGGCTATGGACAAGTGTATGAGGCAGACGCCATCTCAAAGGGAAAAAAGCAGGACACAAAGCGACTCGCGGTCAAGCTGGAGCGACGTTCAGGAGCAACAGACATCGAGGCCCGCGTGCTCGAAACAGCAAAGGATAAGAACTGCCGCCACATTCCAAAGATTTTTGACCATGTAAGTTATATCGTGTTTTTAATTTTGATTAATTTATCTGATTGTAATTTAGGGCGTCATTCAGAGTAGAGGCTGCTCATTCATTGCGATGGAGCTCAAGGGACGCGACCTGTACAGACTGCGGAAGGATCGGAACAATGGCAGTTTCACCCTCGGGACAGCTGTGCGTGTTGCTCTTGTCACTCTTGAGGTAGAAAATTTTGCCTTTAGAAATAACCTTAATTGAATTATTTTTTATTTTGTAGGCCATCAGAGAACTCCATGAAGTATGCGGCTTCATTTCAAGGGATATCAAGGCGGGGAATTTTGTCACAGGACAAACGACAAGCGACGACATACGCAACATCTATCTGATTGACTTTGGCCTGTGTCGGAAGTACAAGGACGCGGTGTGTGCCTCGCAGATTTTCCTTTCAATAATTTCTTTTTGCAGAATAACAACATTGTCGCCGCAAGACCGGATGTTGGCTGGAGAGGGACGACTCGATATGGCTCGCGGAGTGCTCATCTACACCAGGACCTGGCGCGGAGGGATGACGTCGAGAGTTGGTTCTACATGATTGTTGAGATGACAAAGGGATCGCTCCCATGGTCAGCAGAGAGAGGTGAGAGAATTTTCGTAAATGATTTATAGGCAAATTCGAAAAACTTCAAATTTTTAGATCGGGCCGCAGTCTACAAATCAAAACTGGCAGCACTCAGCAACCTGGACGACTTCCTTAACGGCTGCCCGCAAGGCTACAGGGAACTGATCGGGCCCATCATCAAACTCAACTTCGGGGATGCACCTGCCTACAAGGAGATGGGCAGGGTGCTTGAGAGGGTAATTTATGGGGCAAATAAACAGTTTAATTAATTCATTTTGAAGATAATCACTGAACAGGGAATCGACAAGAAAGGCAAGATGGACTGGGAACTTGCCGAGGAACCAGAGATGGTGGCAACAGGCGATCAGATGGACTCGTTTCCGACTTCAACTACTCAACGCCGTGTTTAGAACCAGATGAATCGAGATGCTAATTAGATGAACCTGTTGATATTTTTCTTGATTGTATATTTGTTTGTTGTATTCCCTTAATTTTTTGTCGCCTACATATTTGAATTTGTATTGCTTTTGTATGTAAATAAATTTTTAAAATTGTGTCGATTTTCTTTGCTTGAATTAGGATAAGTTTTCATTTAGCTTGAGCTTTAGCTTTCCTTAAGCCTTTTTGATTTTATGTCGTCGCATTTTCTTGTCCCATTTGTTGCCTTCAGAAATTGATTTCTCCGAACTTCGAAAAGTTCTTTCCCAAAACATTTAAAAAGGTCTGCAGAAAGCTGTAATGTAATAAAAGAAAGCTGTAATCAAAGAAATATGTAAAAAGTGTAATCAAAGAAAGCTGTAATCAAACATTAAATGAAAAGTGGGTTTTAAATTTTTAAAAGAAATTAAAATTTTTAATAATGGGGGATATTGTGTAATAAAAGTGAGGAGGATATTTGTGTTCATTTGACAGAGGATAATCTAATCTAGAAGTTCTTTTTAAAAGGACAATTTGTGGAAAAGAAAAGTTATGCGTTTGGTTCTCTCTTCTCTTCCGGCATTGTAAGTGTCCTTTATCATTCGAAAACTCTTAATGACTGGAATCTTTTAACAGACTGGAACTATCAAATTCATGGGGTCATCCCTAACAAATCTTTCAATTTTTAATCAAAAATACATTGAAAAATAAACACGTAAACCAAAGAAAATGATTAAGAAAATATTTTTTAAAAAAACCTAAATATTATAGTAGAAAAGAATGAAATCATTCGCCCACTATAAAAAGTAGAGCAAAAAAAGAATCCAAAAACTTTTTTTAAAAGAATAAAAAATAAACAATTACAAAAGTAAAATTGAATATTTTCTAATGTTTTTAATAAAATAAAATTATTAAAAGTAAAATAACAATAGGCAACAATCAAATACTAATTAATTATTTTTAAATATTTTCCACTAAAAAAATTAATTATTAGATCATAAATAATTTAAATTTTAAAAGAAAAAAAAGGAAAATATTAAATAAAATAAAAATTAATTACATTTACAGAATTGCAACATTTTTACTCGTTTTTAGCACAAGCTTATTTAATTACTCAATCTATTCCCCTCATCCACTTGAATATTTTTTAGATAAAAAAGTACTTCAAAAAATATTATGTGATCATCTCTTCCTAAGAATATGCCCAAAAATTTTTTGGTTAATAAAAATAATAAACAAAGAAAACAACTCAAAGCTTTTTTTCTTTTAATTTGTGGTAAAGAATAATTATAAAGAGAATTACCCTAAAGCAATTTTTGGATATTATATAGTAGATGAGCTTTATATAAATAAAAAAAAGAACAAAGAAAGGCCACTAATGGGTGTTTTAAATAAATAAATTATCTAATGAACTAGTAAATGGTGAGAAAATAATTTTTTGATGATGACGAGCCGTTGTGGACCAAAAAATAAATGTGGTTGTGGTTATTTGTGTGATTGGAAAGAGAGGAGATATATATTTTGATTATTTATATACATATTCCTCCCTTTCTTTCTTTTTTTAAATATAAATTTCCTGTTTTTGTATTAAAAAGCAACTAAATAAAATAATACGATTAGATAGAAAAAATGAAAAGAATTTGGTCAAAAACTTTTATTAGTAAATTAAAAATTAGCTTTACTGTTTAGGTTTGATAAAATAATTAATTAAAAAATTTATTGAAATGATTACGGTGTTGTCCCTAAAAACAATTATTTTATAGTAAATTATTGATGATTTAAAATAAATTTACTAAGAAAAATATTTTTTCTCGCTCCATAATTGACCTTGGACTTTTTTAGTAATCAAAAACTATTTAAATGGAGGCATATTAAATAAATTAAGGACCAGTAACACAAACCTCTCACACCCCTCATAATTTTGTAAATGAAACCAAAACATTCTTTTTGAATAAAAATTTATATTTTTTCTTAATATGTATGTATGTAAAACAAAAATTAAACTCTAACAATTACAAAAAAAAACAATAACTAAAATTATTCACAAATATTTAAATTCATTTCTTTTTCCTCACAAATTGTCGAAGAATTAATTTTTGCTAAACAAAAATTATTTTAATTTTTATTTATTTAAATTTAAACCTTTTTTGGGTATTTTTTGTTTTGGAGTAATAATACACATAGAAATATTTACTTGTTCTCCAATTTGTGAATTATTTAAAATTATTGAATTTTTAATATTTGCACTTAAAAATTAATTTAAAAAATAATTAAATAAACAAAAAATTACCCATCAAGTATTTTAACATTAGACATAATTAAACAATTATCTATTTTCACATTATCTCCAATAATACATCCCTCATTTATTACAGAACGTTTTGATTGAAATTTTGTGCTAATTTGAGTATTTTCTGCAATCCAATTTTCTGATTGATTTTTATTTGTTTGTTTTCCCAAAAATTTTGAATCCAAATTGTTGCAAAGTTTTGGCAGAAATTTTTTAATCTAATGTAAAAGAAAAAATTTGTTAATGGCAGGGAAATACAAAATTATTTGTAAAATAGTTTTATTAATTTTCAAATTTTGGTTCGAATCCACACCCAACCCTGCTAATATCTTTAACAAAGTTACAACCAAAAAATATTTTTAAAATTCATAAAATTTATTAAAAAAGAAAACAAACAATTTTATTTGCCTCAAAATAAGCCCCCAAATTATTACATTGAGCCAAAAAAGAGCAATCATTTGAATTACTAAAATAAGCAAAACATTTATATTTTTGTTGTTCTTCAAATCCAAGTGAACGTCTTTTTGATTTAGAAAATTGTCCATAAATTAAATTTGAAATAAAATCAGCTTTTAATGAAGAAAATGATAATCTTTTAAATAAATATTTAAATTAATTAATTAAAAAATACTTTGAATTTTTTAAAGAATTTAAAGCATCTCTTTTAATGGCATATAAATGTATATCTTTATATTTGGCACTCGTTTGGATATGTGGAGAGCTTAAAATATAAAAAATTATGGATTAATTTTAATGAGAATCAAGAAAATAAGAGATTTCAGAGACACAAAATAATTGATTCTGACACCAAAACCGTCCAATTTTATTTAATTTTTAAATTTTATTCAAAAATAATATTTTAATTTCGAAGAAAAACAACCTTTTAAAAAGAGAAGCAGGGAACTTCTCGTCATCGCCAAAATCATCTTCGTCAATAAGATAAAGTAATTGATTAGTTTCTGGAGAGAACAAAACAAAATCCCTATCTTTAAATTTTCCAAAAATTATTTCAAAAAAAAAATTTAAAAACATTTTTTAGGCCTTTCATTAGTTCCAGGTATTGGACCAGAAAGTGGAGAATCAGTCAAAAGACATGTTAAAACTGAATTTTCTTTTTCATGAAATTTAAGCATTTCTTCCAATGTCAGATCGGTAATTAAATCTCCACTTACAATTAAAATGTTTTTCTTCTAAAAATTTTTATTGGCAAAATTCTTTTAAAAAACCTTCAATTTATCCAAATTTTGTAAAAGAACATCAGCTGTGCCAAATTCTTCAGCTCCTTCTTCCTCATCATCAAAAGATGAAATTGTGACTTTAAGTTGATCAAGACTTGGTAAACTTCCATCAGAAAGTAATTTATTTACAAAAGCACTTTTTGTTTTTGGAACGATTAGAAGGCATTCTGAAAAATATAAATTTAGTTATTTAGAAAATTATAAAAACAATCTAATGTAAGTGTATTCTTCCAACTATAAGCAGAAAAGGATTTTATTAAGGTCTCTAAACTGTGATATCTGTGATATATTAATGATAATAAAACTAAGAAAAACTAAACCTTTAAATCCATTTCTTTGAAGCAAATTGAGAGGGAACCAAAACAATGGAATATTAATTATTGGCAACAAATGTTTAGGAATATGTTCAGTAATAGACAACATTCGATTACCCCTCCCTCCAGCAAAAACAACAGCAACATAATCCTCAACAATATTCATGGAGATTTAAAATTCTAAATTTAAACTAAAATTTCATTTCAGTTAACATACCAGATCAAAATTAAAATAAAATCAACTCAAAAAATATATTTTAGAGAAAACAAAACTCAAATTAAAAAAAAGACAATTACTACATTTATCTCTAGCGGATATTCTATATAAAATACCGGGAGTATTCTAACATTTATTACAATGAGCATTTCAAATTAAGTCTACAAAATTTAAAATCTACAAAATCGTCAAGTATTTCAATTACTTTGTAACTTCATTTATTGCATTTGCAACATAATTAATATTACCAGAAGTAACACCAGCCATTGAAATACGCCCATCTTTTGTCAAATAAATACTAAATTCATTAGTCAAACGATCAACCTAAAAATAATTTTTAAAAATAAATTTTATTTCATTTTTCAATCAAAAACCTGTTCTGGATTAAGTCCAGTATAGCAAAACATTCCAATTTGGTCAACAATATGATTCCAATTACGTTGAGACCCAGCATTAATCAAAAGCTCTTTAAGTTGAACACGCATAGAGATAATTCGATCCGCCATGCTTTTAACATCAGCAAGCCTTTTAAAACAAAAATATTTTTAAATTTTATTTGTTTTTCTAACCATTTTTGTCGAAGGTCAGAATCTCCAAGTATTTTAGCAGCAATTCTAGCTCCATGAATAGGTGGATTTGAAATCATTGGACGAATAATTATTTTAAGTTGGGAAAGTACTCTTTCTGCTTCTTCCTGCGTAGAACAAATAACAGTAAAAGCACCAACTCTCTCACCTAAATAAATTTTTTTTAATTAAAAATTAATGAAAAATATACAAAAACCATAAAGTCCCATATTTTTAGCAAAAGATTGTGCCAAACAAATATCATGACCGGCCTCCACAAAACGACGAACAGCAAAAGAATCTCTGTCGACATCGCCAGAAGCAAATCCTTGATAGGCCATATCGAAGAAACAAAAAAGTTTGCGTTGTTTACAAGCATTGGATAATTTTTCCCATTGCTCTACCTACAAATTATTTTAAAATAAAAAACATATTTAAACAAACATTTGGATCAACACCAGTTGGATTGTGTGCACAAGCATGGAAAAGAATTATAGAATTTTCAGGCATTGCCAAAATATCTTGTAAACAGCCCTCCTCATCAAAACCACAAGTTTTTGGGTCATAATAGCGATAACGTTTAACTTCGATCCCCGCAAATTTAAAAACATTTAGATGATTAGCCCAAGTTGGTGAAGGCAAATAAACAACTTTGGACGGTAAATACCACTTGGACTGAAAAAGAAAAACTTTAAAGAGAATTTTACAAGGAGAATTTACTAGGTCGTTTCATAAAAAATGTCGCTTTTTGTTTATCAAGTGATAACACAAAAATATTTTTTTCAATCTATCTTTTTTTGGTGTTTTCTTGAAGAACAGAATTAGATCTTCATTTTAACACCTAATTTGACAATTTTCCATAATCCCAAGAAAAGTTATGATTTAAGAAATGTCGGAGGTTAAGAGGAATATTCGCAGCCTGTTGAAAATTCAGTTCGATAAAGTTCAAAAAGTAGCATTAGCAGCACGAAATACCAATTTCGCAGTTGGGCATGATCTGTTTTCTTATCACAATGCGCAAAATTAGTTCAAAAAATTTCGTTCGGGGAGCATCGGGTCAAAACGCAAACATGGGTCGAGATGGCAACCGACCGTAAACAAACGCGTCCTTGCTCACCGGTTACAACGATATCCGGATATTTTTTTATTAGAATTGTAGCCGGGACTTTGCTCTATAAGTACAATCTGGTATTGGTTGAAAAAAACAGATATTGAGCCGAGGAGGGCAAAAAAGAGTAGTGCGCCAACCGACTGAGAGACAAAAACAGAGCGCCTTTTTCTTTGCCTTTCAAACCCGGATATCAATCGAAAGGATTATTCTTGGAACTGAGTTGTTACTTAGGTTGAAATACATATATACCTAATACGATGGTAAACACAAAAAATTGTTTGCAGAAAAAAATTTTAAGAACCACTTTTGGTCCCCGTGTTTTCCACTAAAATAACGCGTTTTCACACCGAATCACTTTTGACGGCATGCCATATCCCAAATTCACTTTGATGGAAAGTACTACCCTACGCACCATATAGCCCCGACTTTGCTTCATCAGATTACCACCTTTTCACGTCTCTCAAAAATTTTTTACGGAGCAGAGGCTTCAGTGAAGGCGCCGAGGTCGAGGCAGTTGTCGGGTAGTATAGTGCATCAGAAATGGGCTCAGATTTTTTAGAAAGGAGTATCCACAAACTCCTTTTTCGTTCTAAAAATGTTGTCAAGACTCGGGGCAATTAATTAGTTCAAGTAGATTTTTTACTTGATTGATTTTGAGTGTTCTTTATCGATTTTTATGTGAAAATTTATTTTTGATAAAAAGCGACATTTTTTATGAAACGACCTAGTATGTACCAACAGAAAATAATAAGGTTTTAGAGAATAGACCAGGACACTCCATTACTACGTGCCTAGTTACTACAAAATACTTCAGAAATACATATTCTCAAAATTATACAACGAAAAATTTACCAAAAATTCAGATCCAGTACGCAATGCCCCAGTGCCAGAAACAGATTGAACAGTAGCATTTCTCTTTTCCTTGAGAACTGCAGAATCATCACTAAGTGCTAAAATTATAAGAAAAAATTAAAATATGTAATCTCTCTCAAAAAACCTAATTGGATAGCTCTCGAAGTAAATTCTTGTATTCTGCAAAATAATTCAAATAAAAAATCTAAATAATTAAAACCCCGCAATTCCTGCATACTCTTTATCCAAGTTTGCAGCAAGTAATTGAGCTTCAGCCTCTTTTACACTTGGCAAAACATATGGTTTTCCTTGATCATCACGATATGCCCCAACACCCAAATTGACTTTTTTAGGATTCGTGTCACGTTTAAAAGCTTCAGTTACCCCCAAAATTGCATCAGGCGGTCCCATCTCGACATTGGAAAATGTGCTCATTTTTCTTAAAAAAATATCGAATAAAACACATTAATTATAAGTAAAATTAGACAAAATTTACCAGAAAAAAGTCCAAGAAACGTGAAGTTGACTAACCATTCTTTTGCCGCGACTCAAAAGACAGAAAACATTAATTCTTGACAAAGACTTTTCATCGCCGACTATTTGGAGTTTCACAAACGCATTTTTTAAAAACGAAGTAAAATCTGTCGTATTTATTGGTAAAAATTTATTATTGTACATGTACTAGATCATTTTGTTGAAAGATAAAAAAATGTTTAGATAAAGCATTGAGAAAATTAAGTAAGATAAGGATAAGAATTTACAATCAAAGTTTTCTCATTTTAAATGAACGTCCATTAAAGGAGATAAAATACAGTATATATTAAGAAGGGAGATGCCGACTGGCAATAACGTCTTTCCGAAGTTCTCCTCAATCTTTTGTACCTATTTTATTAAAAAATTATTTAAATTAAAAAAATATTTTTCCCAAAAGTTTATCTTTAGAACTTGTTTACATTTAATAAATGCACTTTCTTTGGCCAAATTTTGTTATTGTTCACTAAAAATTGTGTATACCTCTACCTATATTTATTTACTACTTGTCAATAAAATTTCCTTTAGAAAAATAGTCAAAATGCACTCTAAAAATAAAAAGAGAAAATAATTCTTTTTTGTGTAAATTCACGTGTATTTCAGAAGAATATCATTTTTATTCATTTTCTTCTTCCCTCTTCCTTCCCTTCCTTCCTTCCCCGCCCATCAAATTTATTTGCCCGTTACCTACCTAAATTACTCTTTTCATTTCATCATTCTGTTTTTATTTAAGAGACAAATGTGAGTAAGGAAAGGAAAGTCATTTAGATAAAACTACTATTTATCTAAAAGGGAAGGATTTTTTTATCAGAAGATTTTCTCTTAAAAGAAGACATTTGGCAGTTTATTTCTGCTCTTTTTAAAAAACTTTTTTTAAAATCTTTCAAAAATAATACAAATTTAACAATTAATAACAACAAATGTTTTTTAAACAAAAGCCCTTCTTTCCCTTGCCCTAATTTAAGAAGATTTTTCCAAATCTTTCAAATAAATGTTCTTTAAATAATTATTTTAAAGAAAAATTACTTTTTTTTCCGATTTATCGCCGCCCGTTCTTTTTTTTTAAATAAAAGGAGGAACCAAATTTCCTTCTCTCATTTACACAATTTCTTCTCTTATTAAAAATAAAGAGAAAAATAGTTTTCCTTAAAAAAATAAAATTTTTTTTATTAATTTTTAAGACAAGTTTTGTTTAAAATTTTTAAAAATTTTTAGATTTCTTTTTAAATTTTATTAAAAATCAACAACAAAAAAGAAATGATTGGTTTAATTGCTTCAGCAGTCGAATGCAGTTATCTTACAGTCGCTACCTTCTCTGCTTTATTTTCAATTCTTCAACCAAAAATTAAATCTTCCCTTATTTTAATTTCAATTCCAATTTTAGCAGCATTAGCCCCAACTACTTTAGCCGCTAATAAAATTGTTTCTGAGGATGGAGAGGGTGATGGACTTGATATATCTAAAAGCATTTTAAATTGAATGAAGGAAAAAGAAGATCAGAAGCATTTTTAAAGAAAAAATTAGATGAAATGCTGAAGAAAAAGAAAAAAATTATTTATTTTTAACGGGTTTACAAAACCAATTATTTTTTCAAAAAATAATTAGACTCTTGTTTTTTTTTATTTTGCTACAAATAAATTTTAAATACATATATTTTGAATGGTAAAATTAATTTAAATAATTTGTTCAAAAAATATTCTAAAAAATAATAGCCAACAAAATTATTTTTTTAATTTACTAAAGAAAAGAAAAATTTTGAGAAGAAATATTAAATTATCTTTTTTTAAATTTTTTTATCTGCCAAATAAAAACCTGTTTATGTAATAAATACATAGTTTATTGTTATTTTGTGTCTTTGGCCTTCAAGAAAAGGAAAGAATTTTAGGTACATTCTTTTTAAATTAGGTATATATTTAATTTTGAATTAAACTAAGATGAACATAGAAGGATGATAAACACAATTTGGTTTTGCTCGTAAAAGTTTAACTTTAATATACACAATCCCCCTTTTATTTAACAAAATATTTTTTCCTTTTTGATTGTAAATATTTATCAAATATTCCCTCCTTTAAAGCTTTACACAAACAAATATATTTTAGTAAATGTTATTCACGTGCAATTCAGCGGAAAAAATAGAAAAAGAAATATAAGCGACAGCCTTCGCCATTTTCTTGTTTTTATTTTTTTATATTCACATCTAAGCACTCGCCCATTAAATCGTCCCATTTCTTGCATTGATTCCTCCATTTTTTCTTTTAATAATATTTTTTTATTTTGTATTTTTGGACCACACAATTGTTTAAACAAAAATTATGATTAATGTAATCCTTAAAACTAAGAATCTTTACTTCATTCAAACTAACCACAATATTTAGTTGAGAAGTTAGTAAACATTGAACTTGTAGAATATTAAAATATTTTTAAATTGTTTATCAAACACATATAATGGGGTGCAAAAGTTTATCTACATTAATCAAAATTTTTTTTAAAACTGGGGAATATTTTAAAAATTACGAGGGGTTATTTTTAAAATAAAAGCTTATCAAAGAGAGAGCATTTTTCACTTAACAATAAAATATCCATGTTTTACGCATTTTCTCGAGATACATATAACGTAGTTTGTTTGGTCAGTGTAAATAAACTTTTACACCCCAATGTACATTTTTATTAAGAAAAACTAACCAATTTATGAAAGGTTTTTTCCCTATTACAAACGTAAATTTCTTCAAAATAATTTAGAAAAAAATAAAGTTAGATAACAACAGAATCCATAATTTAATCAAAAACAAAATTTAGAAAATTAAAAAAATTTTCTGTTTATCATTTACTTCTTCTTAACACTCTTCACTTAACATTAACAAGAATTTTCTTTTGTTTTCTCAAATTTCTAAACGTTAATCTATTAAATTACCTGTAATATACTTTTATAATATTACCTTAGACTAATTCAACATTTAATTTTTGATTTGTATAGAATCACGCGGCAATGATTCTCTATATTATTTTTATATTAACAAACAAATTAGAGCGCATTAATTTTTTTATTATTTTCTTTTAATGACAGACTAAATAACAAATGATTAAATAAACACACAAATACATACACATTAATTATTTTTATGTAAAAAAACATAAATTTTAGAGAATTTAATTAATTAGAAAAAAATATAAAAATGTGATTATTTTATCAATGAAATTGACAAAAGTACTCAAATGACATTTTCTCGAATAAACAATTAATCTTATCATTTTATTATTTAAAGTAATTTAAAAAATTTTTTAGAGAAATTCTTTTTTATTATTTTATATATTTTTGCAAAAATTCGCGTGGATTTATAAATAAAATTTAAATTTCTTATAATTAAATTTTTCTTGCCTAATATTTTTCCTGTTATTTTGGGTAATATGAACTTTACATTTTCAAAATCTAATTCAGAACTGGGGCCTATTTCAATTGTCCACAGATTCTGCATTCTGTGCACAGAACACAGATTCTGTGGAAATTCTGTTTCAATTAAATTCTGTGTGCACAGAATCTGTGGTGCCCGCAGATTCTGCGGAAACATCCAATGATTCTGTGGAAACATTCCGCAGATTCTGTGGATGAAAATTTCTGTGGAAAATATAAAAATCTGTGGATTTTTTCCACTGATCCACAGAATTTGTATTTCAATTATTTTTCTGTGGTTCTGTGTATTTTTTCTTCTAAATTCAAATTTTTTATTTCCGCGTTTTTGAAAATAACAGTTTTATTGAAACGAAAAATGGTTTGGACAGTTCGGTACTACCGCAGTATTAATGGTACCTGATTTTTTGAAGTAAAACTTTAAAAATTCTTAAATTAAACTGAAAAATATTGTAAAGATTTAAAAATTTTCCCTCCAAATCACATAACATCCCTTTAAATCTCTTTGATATCACTTTAAAACCGCTGATATACCGCTTAATTTTCTTGTTCATCCAATATCCTTAAATCTCCAATTAAATTAATGTCCTAAAGCAGGGTTCGGATCGGAAAAATCAGGAGATGTCGATCCGACATGTGGCTTTTTCAAACTACGATAGAAGTTGTTGCAAGGGAGGGAAATGTTTGGGGATTGTTTAGTCAGAAATTGAGGTTCCTGGAAATCGAAAATGCCTGGAATCCAAAATTATAGTCAAATCGGAACTTTAAAATCGTAGAGGAGTGATTAAGTGGGATATCCATTGATTTTGAGGTTTAATATATTGGAGTGATTAAGGAGGAAATCTATCATTAAATAGGAGGAGAGATTATGACGGATATCAATGAGAGATCATGGGAGATATCCCAGTATACGCTATACAGATATATTCTATAGATCCTGGTAAACATCCCCTCATTAGAGATATCCATGATGATTAGAACATCATAGCTCTAAATTTCAGAATCTCTCACGTTTTTTATTTTTTTATTGCTTGAATATAACAAAAACTGCGTAAAAAAGATGTACCTTTTTCAAAATTAATTTTAAGCAATAATTTTAGGTAATAAAATTATAATTTTTATATCAAAAAATAGAGAATGATTCAAACTTTAATAATCTTTAAAAATTTTGAAATTTGGTTAAGCCTAGGCCTAGAAAAAAATTGTTAAAGTTTTTCCACAGAAAGTTCGCAGAAAAAATTTTAGGGTGGATTTTTTAAAGAATTCTGTGTATTTTCCGCAGACCACAGAAATAATTGAAACAGAAATGCACAGAATCGACTAAAAAAGCCACAGATCTGTGGATTTTTTTCTGTGCACAGAAAAATAATTGAAATAGAATTCTGTGGTTTTTGCATGTTTTTGGATGTTTTGCAGAATCTGTGGATGTTTCCACAGATTCTGTGCATGTTTCCACAGAATCTGCGGACTTCTTTTTCCGCAGAATCTGTGGAATAATTGAAACAGAATTTCTGTGGTTCTGTGGTCTGTGCACAGAACGCAGACCGCAGAATCTGTGGACAATTGAAATAGGGCCCTGGTTATAGATAAGTTCTCTTTGGGCAAACCCCAATGTACCGCCGAGCTATAGCTTCGTTCAGTTATCGAATCTGAGATGCCCTATGATTTGGTTCAGCCCGTTTAGGTGCATCGAACCATATCAATGCGTCCTGGTTTCGACAATTTTGGAGAGGTTATAGCTCGGCAGTACATTGGCTTGCCCGTTTTCTTCATAAAAATCTTTTTACATCTTTGAAGGTCATAATGAACATACTATACTAGAAGGGATCAGAGGGAATATTTTATGTGACTTGTTGAATCATCGTTGATAAATATGAACAATTAATACACACTATCCTAATGGGGAATACATATTTTAACAAATATTCTTCCATCTGTCCACATTTCCAATATGTGTAAAATTACGAACATAAAAATCACGAGGAAAAGATAAGAAAAGGCCACGAGGATTGAACACGCCACTATTTAATCGACGAAGAAACACGCGGCAAAAATAAATTATTTCGACGAATCCTTTCTAAACGTTCGGAAATTCCCTTTTTCATCACTTTTATTTTTGTCCTTCCTTCTCTCTCCTAAATATATAAAATGTTCGTTTGGTTTTCACGTGTTCTCGACCAACAAACAGCACAAAATTATACATTCTTTTTAGTGGCAACCTAATATTTTCTTGCAAAATATCACACGTTTTCTACAAAAAATACTTTTTTTTTCTCGAGAAAAATGATAAAAGAAAAATGACAGAAAAAGTGACTAAAAATGTAATATATAATTTTAAATTTATTTTTCGATTTTCAGTCATTTCTTTTTGAAATTTTGTTTGTTATATTTTATTCTCCTTTCCAACCTATTAATATGTACAATAAATATGAGTGACAGTCCGTGCTTATCCGATAATTTAACTGAAAAATGGTTTGATTTTCTTGTCTGTTTTAATTTCTGTCGTCTACATAAGTATAAGAAATATAAACATTATTGTGAAATAAAAAACGTGAACTCAAATGCTAAAAATTTATTTCACAATTAAACATAAAAACAATCCCTTTCCTTCCTTCCTACACTATTATTATATCCCGTTCACGAGTGTTAAAAAAGCTTAAGTTGTTTATTTTAGATTGCTTTAGACAAAGTAGCTTCAAAACGCAAACAAATCCTTTTTTCTTTCTCTTTGTTTTCCCAGTCATCCTAACTCTTGTTTCCATTTTAGTAAACAAACTATGTTACGACAATTGCGAATGTAAAACTTAAAGATAAAACAAAAAATTATTGGTGACAGCCTGTTTTCGAGTGCCAGCTGTTGGCCGGAATGAAACCGAACTCCGAACAATTTTCTGGATTGATACAGCGCTGAAAATTTTTACAGAATTTCATTTAAATTCTATATCCGCAAATGTCGCATTCACAAATGTCATCCGCTAAACAAATAAGTCTCCCTCGTGCTTTTATAAATATTGTTATTTCATTTCATAATGTGAAGGTGTAATACATAAAATAACAATTTTAACAGGGATTAGCTGTATCACTCCACCCCAAATACAAACTCACTATTCATATTTAATTCTATAAAATTAATGAAAAAACTTTAAATTTCAAAAATAACTACAATTAAAATGTGCCTTCGCCCACTACCCGATATTACACCCGAACGCCAGTCCCAACACTTTGTTGGTCATCAGTGGCAAGATGACCATCAACACCACCAAAGACAACAACTAAATCGAAATTTGAATCGACCGTGGAATTTATTTGAACATTTACAAAAAGTACCTTTTTTTACTAAAAGAATTTAAAATAATTTTAAAATTAAGGCTAAAATAGGAGAATCAGAATTTCCCAAAATTACACCATTGGAACGAAAAATGATTGGAATGGCTACAACAATATTTGAATGCAGTTATTTATTTTTTGCCACATTTTCAGCACTTTTCTCTATTTTGCGGCTAAAAATGAAAGGAAAACTTGCAACTATGCCAATTATTTCTTATTTTCTACCAAACGAGAATACTTAATTAAAATTAAACCAACACCAAAAAATAAAACAAATTTGGAAAAGAAATTCAATCCTATTATAATTTAAAATTTACACATTTCACGGGTTATATTTATAAATATATTCCCCATTCCTCTCCCTTCAATTTATTTGATTATATATAGTTTTTACCTTTATTTATTTTTAATATTTGGAGTAGAATTGAATGAATAAAAACAAATAAATGTACAATTGAAAACAAAATATAGTTGAATATTCTATCAGTTAAAAACGTTGCTTCTTGAGTATTTCAGGTCGCCACATTAGCGGATGTGTTTCTTCTGTCTGAAAAGAAATACATTAAGTTGTTAATTTTAAAACTTTTCTTAAATTATCGAAAATTGTTTGGACAGTTTTTTCAGTTTTTACAAAATAATTTTTATAAAACTTTCACTCACCGCATTCAAATCTTCTTTCCACATTTTTATAGATTTATCTGCTTCAGCACTTATCAAACGCGATCCTGATTTGTCAAAACAAAGTGCAAAAATCCCACGTTCCGAATCAATTGATCCAGGCTGTGGAGGTGGATGTTCTTTTTGAAAACAAAATCCGGACTTGAAGTCCCAAAAATGCATTGTGCCGACATCACCTTTTTTGAAAATATATTAAACATTTTAAAAAAAGATCACCCCACTGTATAAAAAAGCACTACTCTTCCCTACATTTAAACTGAATATTTTATTACCTCCAGAAACAAGAACACCATCTTCATTAATCACCAGAGAATTAATCATTGTATTATGGCCACTAAGATTCTGCATAAAATCACCGTTCGGAAATTTCCATAATTTTATGTTGTCTGTAGAGCCAGATGCAAACATATTAAGAGTTGGATGAAGTGCTAGAGAACGAACACTTTTCTAGAAGTTAAAAAAATAAAAAATAATTTTAGTGAAAAAGTTAACTTTATGATTAGTTAAAGAGCAAACACTTTGCCCGCTAGCTAAATCCCACAAGCGAATAGTTGAATCGTGGCTGCCGGTAACAACTTGTGGATTCGAGCTCTGACAGATAACTGAAGCAACTGTGTCACGATGACCGCTCAAACAAAATATTTGTGCTTTAGTACGCATATCCCAAACCTTAATTTTTAAACAAGCTAAATGATAAAATTTTTTGTAAAGTAAACTCTAGCAGTAGAATCACGAGCACAAGTAACCAAAATATCAAGAGTTGGGTGAAGAGCCAAATCTTGAACAGCACTCAAATGGCCGTGATAATGACGAACAACTTTGTTCTGTTCCAAATCCCAACATTTAACCTGAATTTAAAGTTATAAATACTTTTGTAAAAATTAAAAACCTGTTTATCTTCCCCAGCACTAAACAAATAAGGATGTCTTGGCGAAACTTTTACTGCTCTCACTGCACTAATATGACCAGTTAAGGAAAGTTTCAATTGACCACTGGCAAGATCCCAAATCTAAAATTTTTTAAAATTAAATTAGAAATCAAGAAAAACTCTAGCATGGCATAAAAGTAATAAAAATAAACTAACAATAAGAATTTTCTATCAATAAAAAATATTTCAGCAAAAAAAAATAAAATTTTCTAATTAAAAAATAAACACCTTAATAATTCTATCAGCACCACCAGTAGCAAACCACTCATTGTTTGGTTCAACATCTACAGCTCTAACCCAACCTGTGTGACCAGAAATCACTCTATATAATTTCCAAGGGGCATGCCATTTTGGTTTTGTAATTAAATTTGCACGAGAAGGGAGTAAAGCGCGAACAGTTCCGTCATTTGATTTTTGTTCAATCAGTGAAATTTGTTTTTCTCCTTTTGATGAACCATCAGTGATCGCTAGAGGTACATCTGAAAATTTAAGAGTACTTAAATTGTTGTAAATTCTTCTCAATTTAATTGAACTATTTGATTTTCTGAAAATTATAAAATAAGTATGATTTATAATTACATGCTTAAAAATGCCAAGAAACTAATATAGATAAAATTTTTAATGATTTTTTTCAAAACAAACTTTCATCTGCTACAACAGCAGCAATTCCTTCTTTGTTGCTTTTTGGTAGACGAAGTACTTCTTCAGCTCTACGTCTTTTATTTTCTTCAACTGCTTTAATTACATGTGAGAAACTGCTTCTAATTTTCGTGTTTCTCCAAATTTTTTCACTAAAAAAACAAATTCTTAACTAGAAGTAAAATAAATAGAAACAAACGCTTTTTCACTATTTTCTGGAAAAACATCATAATCATACAAAAACATATCGTGTGCTCTTTTCATTGATCTGAAAACATAATTGTGTAAAGCTTTTTCTTTAGCACTGAGTTGTTCCTTGTTGGAAGATGAACTACCATCTACAGAAACATCAAGTTTGTCGGTCGATGCAGAAGCCATTTTAATTAAAATGAGAAAATATCTAAACGATTTGGATTTATAATTGGATTTTGTTTAAATTTTCGTAAAATTTTAAATGTTCAGAGGTTCTTTGATTTAATTGAGAAAGTAGACAAAGCGACAAAATAATAAAATTTTCACTAATGACCATTTTGCAAATTTTTCAAAGTGACCATTATTTTATTTCCAATTTTTAAAAAAGAGGGTGAAAAAGTAAGAAATAGTGTATAAATTTTGAGTTGGTGCTTCTTGGCGCAATTTATTAATAATATATTTCGCCAGATTTTTTCCGGATTCTGAATCTAGAAAACCCAATCCGGCGGTAGGGGACACATCAGTCCCGCCATTTCAGTCCCGCCGTTTCAGTCCTGCCATTTCAGTCCCGTGCCATTTCAGTCCCAGCCATTTCAGTCCTGCCGTTTCAGTCCCCCCTATATGGGGACATTTCAGTCCCCAATGGTTTTCTATTGTTGTACCAATGATTGTTATTGTTTATTTTTTTGTTTTAAACATTTTCTAGGTTCTTTAGGTGATCAACCACAACAATTAGCAATAACCAACAACAATTAGTAACGAAAAAAAATTTTTATGGAAAATGTAGAATTTTTTTTAAATTTTTTAAAATTCTTAAATTTCTTAAATTTTCTTAAAAACTCCAGACTGCGAGAATTCTATGCTGAATGGAGAGGTTTCTACTACACACACATGGTTTATTTTTTAGTTTTTTAGCTTTTTTGAAATTTTTTTTATTTTCCCCATTTCAAGGGGGAGCTATAACCCAGGAACGCCCTGGCTACTCGGTCTCGGCTACGTCCTTGCTACTCGGTCAAGCACATCGAAAGGAACAGGCGGTGATGGGATATCGTCAACAACAACCTTAACCCAAACGGCCCTCTTTAGGGCCACAAATCTAATGAGTGAAACGAGACTATGACTTTTTAGTTATTTTGATAAACCCAAGCCAGAAAAACCCCAAGAAAAGCCTAGAATTAAGACTCGCTAGCTTTTAAGATGTTCTTTGTGTGATAAAATGATTATTTTTTATTCAATTTTTATTTTTAAATTTGTTTTATTTATTTTTTTACACGGGGACTGAAATGTCCCCATATAGGGGGGACTGAAACGGCGGGACTGAAATGGCACGGGACTGAAATGGCAGGACTGAAATGGCGGGACTGAAACGGCGGGACTGAAATGGCGGGACTGATGTGGGATGTTCCGCCAATCCGCACAGTGCTTCAAACCCGTTGACAGACAGGACATAGCAAACAGAGAAAAAGGCCGATTCAGTGCCAAAAATAATAACCGTTTTGGTGCCAATTCATCGCAGAGTTTGAGTGTCAACGAGGGGAACTCTCTCTCATCCTTATATCTTTCAGCCCTCTCACTCGATTTTTTTCAAATTTTGTATTTTTGTAGTTCAAAAATAGTTAAACAATCCTGCAAATTTTGAGAAGCCAATATGCATTTTTGGCAGAGTTACGAATTTTTAAAAATCGGTAGAATTCGACCTATTTTAGGCCAAAACTTAATCCAAAGTTGTTATTTTTTCCTAATTTTTGTTTTTTACGATTCAGCGATGAAAGATGAACAAAAACTATGTTGAACAGAATTTACATATGTCTCATCTAAAAATTTTAAAAAACTTCGCCCATATTAACTTTTTTTTGACCATATGAAAATTCACGAAATTTTTTTGACATAATCTTAAAACAATTATCTATGAAATGTATTGACAGATTTTAAAACGTATTGGTAGTTTTCGAGATATTGGATTTCAAAATCGGCAACCTAAAATAGAAACGAGAGTAGTGCTAAAAACGAGAGAGTAAGAAAATGAAAGAGAGGAAAAACGAGAGACTACACAAATTTTGCTATGCGCGCTTTTGAAGCACTGTGAATCCGGGTATCGTGAAAGTTGCCGGATCCCATAATGGGTGTAGCACTAATGTGAATTGCTCTTTTACTGCATTTCATATAGATTTTTAAGGGTTTTCTATTATTAACTTTTAGATAGTTATGAACGATTGTTTTAAGCGATCAATGCCACCAATCTATCAATGCCACCAATGGGGAAATAATTTTTTAAAAGAAAAACACCAAAAAATGTCATTTATTTACTTAAAAACAAAAAACTTTTTTATATGCCATTCTTTGAATACCCACACTTTTTGGAGGAAAAAATATTATTTAGAGAATGGCACGACCTGCCTATTAATTTATTTTTATATAGCCCTATTAATAAAAAAAGAAAAGAAAGAAAAAATATTTGGACTTGATGAACTTATTAAATTAAATTTAAATAGAGTAAGTACAAAGAATATACAAAATTAAAATAATTTTATTAACGTGCATTTATTTAATTTAATTTAATATTTAAAAGTAACAATTTAAATATTTAAATTAAATATATATTTTAAATTACGTAATAAATTAAAATTTTGTTAAATTGGTAGTTCTCTCAAAAAAATTATTTTTAAATTATTTCATTTAAATTACTTCCTATTTATTGTTAAAGATGGAATTTAGAATATATTTAAATTGTTATTTTTAAAAATCAAAAATTAAAAATTAAAAATAAAAATCAAACCTCGAGTAGGTTGTAGATATTGATGATTACATACAGTCTTTAATGCATTAATTAAGAGACGTCCACTGAAAATAAATAATTAAATAAATTTATTTTTCAAAAAAAAATTTTTTTTAATATTTTCTTACAAAAAATTATTTTTTATTATTTTTCTAAAAATAATTTCTTCCAAGTTCCAAAATAGAAAGAAAATATAATTTTCTAATTTAAGAAATAAATTTTTTTTTGCAAAAAAACTTTCCCAAAAAGATTTTAAAAATAAATTTAAAAAAATTCGTCATTTTATTTTAATGGAAAATAAAAAACATTAAATACCAAATTCGGTGTTCTTCAAAATCATTCGGGAAAGGATTTTCAGTCTCCGCATTTGCCACCATCGGAATAATCAAAGCTGCAATAATTATTTGAAGAAATAAAAATGATGGAGGAGGGAAACAATTAATTCGTTGAAGATTTTTTTGGTGAATTTTAAAAGAATTAAAACAAAAAGGAGAGGAAGAAAGGAAGGAGGGGGAGGAAGTTGGGGAAGAATGAAAGAAGGAAGATTGTTTTTGATTTAAATTGTTGTTGAATGAAGATTTAGTTGTTGAAGAATTGAATGAAGAATATGTTGAAGAAGAAGAAAATAGAGAAGAACGTAAATATTTGGGAATTGAAGGGAAGGAGGGGAACGAGGGGAAGTTTTTCAATAAAAAATATTTCAGCAAAAAAAAATAAAATTTTCTAATTAAAAAATAAACACCTTAATAATTCTATCAGCACCACCAGTAGCAAACCACTCATTGTTTGGTTCAACATCTACAGCTCTAACCCAACCTGTGTGACCAGAAATCACTCTATATAATTTCCAAGGGGCATGCCATTTTGGTTTTGTAATTAAATTTGCACGAGAAGGGAGTAAAGCGCGAACAGTTCCGTCATTTGATTTTTGTTCAATCAGTGAAATTTGTTTTTCTCCTTTTGATGAACCATCAGTGATCGCTAGAGGTACATCTGAAAATTTAAGAGTACTTAAATTGTTGTAAATTCTTCTCAATTTAATTGAACTATTTGATTTTCTGAAAATTATAAAATAAGTATGATTTATAATTACATGCTTAAAAATGCCAAGAAACTAATATAGATAAAATTTTTAATGATTTTTTTCAAAACAAACTTTCATCTGCTACAACAGCAGCAATTCCTTCTTTGTTGCTTTTTGGTAGACGAAGTACTTCTTCAGCTCTACGTCTTTTATTTTCTTCAACTGCTTTAATTACATGTGAGAAACTGCTTCTAATTTTCGTGTTTCTCCAAATTTTTTCACTAAAAAAACAAATTCTTAACTAGAAGTAAAATAAATAGAAACAAACGCTTTTTCACTATTTTCTGGAAAAACATCATAATCATACAAAAACATATCGTGTGCTCTTTTCATTGATCTGAAAACATAATTGTGTAAAGCTTTTTCTTTAGCACTGAGTTGTTCCTTGTTGGAAGATGAACTACCATCTACAGAAACATCAAGTTTGTCGGTCGATGCAGAAGCCATTTTAATTAAAATGAGAAAATATCTAAACGATTTGGATTTATAATTGGATTTTGTTTAAATTTTCGTAAAATTTTAAATGTTCAGAGGTTCTTTGATTTAATTGAGAAAGTAGACAAAGCGACAAAATAATAAAATTTTCACTAATGACCATTTTGCAAATTTTTCAAAGTGACCATTATTTTATTTCCAATTTTTAAAAAAGAGGGTGAAAAAGTAAGAAATAGTGTATAAATTTTGAGTTGGTGCTTCTTGGCGCAATTTATTAATAATATATTTCGCCAGATTTTTTCCGGATTCTGAATCTAGAAAACCCAATCCGGCGGTAGGGGACACATCAGTCCCGCCATTTCAGTCCCGCCGTTTCAGTCCTGCCATTTCAGTCCCGTGCCATTTCAGTCCCAGCCATTTCAGTCCTGCCGTTTCAGTCCCCCCTATATGGGGACATTTCAGTCCCCAATGGTTTTCTATTGTTGTACCAATGATTGTTATTGTTTATTTTTTTGTTTTAAACATTTTCTAGGTTCTTTAGGTGATCAACCACAACAATTAGCAATAACCAACAACAATTAGTAACGAAAAAAAATTTTTATGGAAAATGTAGAATTTTTTTTAAATTTTTTAAAATTCTTAAATTTCTTAAATTTTCTTAAAAACTCCAGACTGCGAGAATTCTATGCTGAATGGAGAGGTTTCTACTACACACACATGGTTTATTTTTTAGTTTTTTAGCTTTTTTGAAATTTTTTTTATTTTCCCCATTTCAAGGGGGAGCTATAACCCAGGAACGCCCTGGCTACTCGGTCTCGGCTACGTCCTTGCTACTCGGTCAAGCACATCGAAAGGAACAGGCGGTGATGGGATATCGTCAACAACAACCTTAACCCAAACGGCCCTCTTTAGGGCCACAAATCTAATGAGTGAAACGAGACTATGACTTTTTAGTTATTTTGATAAACCCAAGCCAGAAAAACCCCAAGAAAAGCCTAGAATTAAGACTCGCTAGCTTTTAAGATGTTCTTTGTGTGATAAAATGATTATTTTTTATTCAATTTTTATTTTTAAATTTGTTTTATTTATTTTTTTACACGGGGACTGAAATGTCCCCATATAGGGGGGACTGAAACGGCGGGACTGAAATGGCACGGGACTGAAATGGCAGGACTGAAATGGCGGGACTGAAACGGCGGGACTGAAATGGCGGGACTGATGTGGGATGTTCCGCCAATCCGCACAGTGCTTCAAACCCGTTGACAGACAGGACATAGCAAACAGAGAAAAAGGCCGATTCAGTGCCAAAAATAATAACCGTTTTGGTGCCAATTCATCGCAGAGTTTGAGTGTCAACGAGGGGAACTCTCTCTCATCCTTATATCTTTCAGCCCTCTCACTCGATTTTTTTCAAATTTTGTATTTTTGTAGTTCAAAAATAGTTAAACAATCCTGCAAATTTTGAGAAGCCAATATGCATTTTTGGCAGAGTTACGAATTTTTAAAAATCGGTAGAATTCGACCTATTTTAGGCCAAAACTTAATCCAAAGTTGTTATTTTTTCCTAATTTTTGTTTTTTACGATTCAGCGATGAAAGATGAACAAAAACTATGTTGAACAGAATTTACATATGTCTCATCTAAAAATTTTAAAAAACTTCGCCCATATTAACTTTTTTTTGACCATATGAAAATTCACGAAATTTTTTTGACATAATCTTAAAACAATTATCTATGAAATGTATTGACAGATTTTAAAACGTATTGGTAGTTTTCGAGATATTGGATTTCAAAATCGGCAACCTAAAATAGAAACGAGAGTAGTGCTAAAAACGAGAGAGTAAGAAAATGAAAGAGAGGAAAAACGAGAGACTACACAAATTTTGCTATGCGCGCTTTTGAAGCACTGTGAATCCGGGTATCGTGAAAGTTGCCGGATCCCATAATGGGTGTAGCACTAATGTGAATTGCTCTTTTACTGCATTTCATATAGATTTTTAAGGGTTTTCTATTATTAACTTTTAGATAGTTATGAACGAAAGTTTTAAGCGTTATTTTCCTTCTGCATCTGTACCTCTTCCTACTCATAATCCTTTACAATTATTACATTGGAAGGATCAAGAGCGTCAACATAATACTTGGTATTTGGAAAAATATAATCGTCTTCAAGATTCTCGCAAGCAGCCTTTGGTTATTTTTATTTAAATTTTAACAATTTTTATTTTTAGTCTGTTGATTGCGGTCCGGATGATCGTCTTATTATTCAATTCAAAGAACAGGTCAACAAAATGATTTGTATTTATCACAATTATCGGGAGCTCGAGACTTTTTGCATTCATCCGCTACTTTTTTCTCACGATCTCATTAGTAAGGAGACAAGGCTGCTTTTCTGTATCAAGGATCAGGTTTAGAATTTTTTTTATAATTATCGTTCACTTAAAAAATTTAATTTAGATTGATGGTTCAATTCGTTACAAGTTCCGTGTAAAGTTTGTCTCGCAAGATGAAGTAATTGCATTTTGTTCTGCTGTGGCTGGATATGTTACAATTAAATCATATGAAGAATGGTCAAAGCAATCTGAAGGTGCGAGAACTCCAACATTTTCCGAAAGGGGAAGAACTCCAATGTCAGAGAAAGGAAATATTACTCCATTGGAGCAAACTTTTGACACGACTATTGTAAACGAGACCGATGCCAGCGAAAGTGTTTCTGCAAATCGTGCTCCTGCTGAAGATAAAACTGGAACAAATGGGCAGAATATAATAAATGGTTTATTTTTATTTTATTCAACATGTTGTTTTTCAAAAAATTTATTTTTATTTTAGTTCATATTGAGAATCTGATATCTGTTGAGGCTATGCGCGAATTTGGGAATATTTTACTTCAAATAGTCGACAAATGTATTTCTTCCAACAAGAAGGAACGCAACAAGAAAAACCAGGTACAACACGAAGGACCAAATATCCAATCTACTTCGGCAATTCAGCCTGCTCTTCCATCTACTACAAAATTACCAACGAAGCGTGGTCGCAAACCCCATCCAGAGAATAATGAGGTATTTTTGAAATTTTTTAATGAGAAGGAATAAAATTTTTAGAACAAGTCGCCAAAGCTTGCAGCAAAGAAGAGGAGAGATATGAATCCCTCTAAATGGCGAATTTATGATTTTGAGCGTCAATTGCTTCAAATGGTGAAGGAGGAAAAGGCGGAGATCCACAGAGCGAGGTAATTAAATTTGATTATTTAAGTGGTATTGATATTTAGGAATTTTTTTTGTACTTTCTAATTTAATTATTAGGAAGTTTTGAACCACTACAAAATTTGAATACCATTTTTTAAATTAATTTTATTTCGATCTTTATTTTTTAGAACTCCTGGGACTCGATACAATTTTCGTGGCGTTACAGATGAGAATGAGTGAATTAAGTTAATGCTTTAATAATTAAATATTTAAATATAGTCGAAAATCTCTTGTGTTAAAATATTTTAATTTAATTTTTTGCCTTAATTTGGTGTTACGACAATTGCGGATACGCACATGCGGATGCGACGATTGCGGACGACAATTGCGGATGACGATTGCGGATTTGACAATTGCGGACGACAACTGCGGACGACAATACCGGATTTACCAATTGCGGATTTAAAATTTTTAAAAAATTTTAAAAGTTAATAAAATGGAATACTGTTTTCTAGTCCCATCTGTCAGTTTCCGACATCTGACGGTTTCCGAACCATTTTTAAACTGACGCGGCACGGAAAACTTTAAAAAATCTTAGATTTTTAAAAAAAATTTATATCCGCAATTGTCGTCCGCAGTTGTCGTCCGGAAAAGTCAAATCCGCAATCATCGTCCGCAATTGTCGTCCGCAATTGTTCCATCCGCAATCGTCGCATCCGCAATTGCGTATCCGCAATTGTCGTACAGCCCTTAATTTCCTGCCATATTCTTTTCCTCTTCTATTTTTCCCATTTCTTCTCATTTTGATTTATCTTGTCAATGCTTTAATTTGGATTTAATTTAAATTTTGCCACAAATAGAATAAAATGATTATATTTAGAAGTTTCAAAATTGTATAGAATGGATTTGTATATTTCCTTGAATTTTTATTAATATTTATTAGGCTGGGTGATGTAAAATTAATCCAATTAAAAATTTTTGGTTGTGCCTCTGAGATAGTTTATTTTCCCAATTTTATTTCTCTATAATTTCTCCAGATATTTCAAGAAAAATGAGTTTAAAATTAAAACGTTTTGCTGAAGCTATTTTGCGACACAAAAAGAAATCAATCTTTGCTGTTGTTGCGGCCATCTCTGGTGGAAATGCTCTTAATTCAAAAATAAAGTTTTAATTTAGAAAATTATTTTATTATTTTCTTAGAGATGATGAAGTTAGACGTTTTTATGGAGAAAAAGCAAAACAATTTGGAGCAGTACCAATTCATCCAAATCAAAAACTAAGAAAGGTTATTGTTCTTATTAATAGTGAAGCTAAAAGACAACATGCTGCTCGAATATTTAATAAAAATGGATTGCCCCTACTTAATTTGGCTGGACTTGATATTAATATTATAAATGTAAGTGAATTTTTGAATTTAAATTTTGTCACTTGTAGAAAAGACAAATAATTAATTTTTTATGTTAAGAATTTTTTGATTAAATTTTTTAATTTTATCAAAAATTAGCTAATTGAAAAAAGCCATTTCAAACAGAAAAAACCATTTGTTCTTTTAACTTTTTAAATTTAAAAGGTTTCCTCTCAATCGGAAATGGAAAATATTGCTCGGACAATTGATTGCAAAGAAGCAGATTGCATTTTTCTTGTTGGTGGTGATGGCACTATTTGTCATGCTCTCAACGGGATTTTACAAAAAACAAAGATTGAAGAACAACCACCAATTGGAATATTTCCTGGTGGCAATAGAAATAAAACATTTTCAATTCTCGGATTTATTAAAGAAAGTGTAGGTAAAATTAAATATTAAATTAAAAATAATAATTTTTTAATTAAAAAAAAAGATCCGAAAAGTAATGTTCGTCTTTGCTGTGAAAGTGTGATGGCTTTAATTGAAGGAAAACAAAAACAATTTTATCCAATTTGTTGTAAATTAGAGAATATTTCTGATAGAGAAGTGAAAGAAAAAAAGGAAAATACTTCGTCAACAATTCCTTCACCTTCTGTCAATTATTTTTTGTCAGAAATTGCTTTGGGGTGGTTTGAACATTGCGAACTTAAAATACCCAAATTCTGGTGGATGGGTCCGTTGAGCAGTTATTTTACTTATTTTTGGGAATTTTTTAAGGTTTTTTAAAATTTTAAAATAATTTTTTAACAATTCAAAGATTTCACCAAAAGCACCAATTAGAGTAGAAATTGCTTATGAAAAGTTTTGTCCTGGTTGCCGTAAATGTATTGAAATACCTAAAGACAGTGGAAGTTTTTTGACTTGGATATTTGGGACTTCTAATAAAGTAAAAGGTACTTAATATTTTTTTTGAGAAAAAATATGTGAATTGAGGGGTTTCTTTTTAAATAATTTTTGAATATTTAATGGAAATGGGCTTTACTTTTAATTTCTAAAATTTTCTCCAAAATATTCTTATTTATGGTAAAAAATTATTTAACAAACTTAACTTTAATTCGATTGATAATTTATAATTTTTGGAAGTTTTCAACTCCAACCATTTTGTTAGATTATCGTTTAAAAAATAATTCTTTATGATAAAAAATTAATTCTCTTTAAATGCAGATCCAAAATTGACAAAATTAATTGAAAAGGAAAATCCATCTTGTGGTGAAATTAATTCTATTGCTGTTAGTGGAACAGATTTTCGTTTAAATGCTGAACAGTCAGAGGTTCCGTTTATTATTTTACAAATTAAAAATAAATCTTTATTTAAAAAAAGAATTCAAGTAAATTAAAATTAAAAATATTTACAACAATCGGAATGTTGGGAACAATAAGAGAAGCTCTGAAAAGGACAAATTTTACTAAAAATAATTTTGATGGAGATTCTATTGTTGATAATTTTGAGACAAATATTGAAGCAAAAAGAATTGTTCTGCGTTTTACTAATATTCCGGTAAATATTTTAAAATTAAAAAAAATATTTAAATTAATTTTAAGCCAAAATTACGTAAATTAACAATTTCTGGTGATTCTGTGGATTTCTATGATTATGCAGAAAAGGAGTTAATTGTAGAAACACTGAGTCAACCACTAAATTTTTTTGTTCCAAATCTGAAAGAAAATGAAGAAAAGCAAGGAAATATTTGAAAATAAATTTTAAATATATATTTTTTTCAACTTTTAAATTTTTTACAAAATATTTAAATAATTCTAATTTATAAAAAATAAACTATATAAATTAAATTATTTGTATTAAACAAATTTGCAAAAATTGTTTTTGAGAGTTTAATTTGTTGAATTAACTGAGTATAGTAGGAAAAAATTAAGTATAGGAAACTAATTAAATGTACAGAGATAATTAAAAAAAACTTTTAAAGCTTTAGTATAATTATAGAATTAGATCAAGTAATGTTTAATATTTGTGATAGGAAAGTGAGAGAGTTGTGGCGATGTGAATTTGAGAAGGCATAAATGTTGAGCTATGAATTTAAAAGTATGTACATATAAGAATTTCTTTTCATTTACAGACAAAATTCCGATAAAAAATAGTCTTTTACAGAAGGATTAAGAGCCTTTTAGAATTTTTATTAAGTTAAATCAAATTTTTAGGCAATTACGAACTTTCATTTAAATTTCAAAAAATTCAAATTTATATGAGATAAACTAACTATTTTTGAGGAATTTCGAATAGAATCTATTCGAAATAATAAACGAAATACTTTATACTTTGTCTAAATAGAGCCGAAATGAACTTTATATGAGATAAACTAACTATTTTTGAGGAATTTCGAATAGAATCTATTCGAAATAATAAACGAAATACTTTATACTTTGTCTAAATAGAGCCGAAATGAACTTTATATGAGATAAACTAACTATTTTTGAGGAATTTCGAATAGAATCTATTCGAAATAATAAACGAAATACTTTATACTTTGTCTAAATAGAGCCGAAATGAACTTTATATGAGATAAACTAACTATTTTTGAGGAATTTCGAATAGAATCTATTCGAAATAATAAACGAAATACTTTATACTTTGTCTAAATAGAGCCGAAATGAACTTTATATGAGATAAACTAACTATTTTTGAGGAATTTCGAATAGAATCTATTCGAGAAAAAATTTTTTTGGGGAGTATAAAAGCCCGATTTTTAATTATTTATTATTTATCAACAAAGTTTTTGTCTTTATTTTGCTCTATGTCGTATATTCTTTGTCCACTTCCTGGTGAAATGACGTCAAACAATAATACTACTCCATTTATCAAGGTAGATCTCTCTTTTACTTATACAAATATTTCTAATTAAAAATTATTTTTTTTGATAGGCTGTCAACAAGCTCAAGGATGCTTCTATGTTAATTAAGAGGGGTGTAGCCCTTTTGGACGAAGGAACTGTGGAGCTTGAGAATGCTTACTATGCAATGCTTAAACCCAAGAATCAATTAGTTCCAATTCCTAACGAAAAAGATATCATTTTCTCTGAGGATGGAACTATAATTCAGACAAAAGGCAAGAATTCCATTTTTAATTAAATAAAAATAAATTTTTTTTTAAAATTCTCACATCAAATTTTTCATAAAATATTATTTTTTTAATTAAAGCTATGCAACTTGCTATTACGTTCCGAGGGAAAAATAAAATGGTTGAAGGGGACTACTTTGAAGTTCATTTTGAAAAGATTAGGTATTTTATGGAGCTCTTCTAATTTCTTATACCTTAAAATTAAGTTATGGAGCTGTTGGCATGGGGCCTTTACAATTTAACAAAAACCAAGATATTGGCGGAGTGGCTGGATCTTTTGTTTATGCCTCAAACGGGAAAATGTTTTCTAATGGAAAGCAAAACAAAAAATATCAATCGATTTTTGGTTCTAATGATGTTATTGGCTGCGGATTAAAGAAGAGTAAAGGCTTAATCAAGAAGTGCTTGCCTGGCGATGATTTCCGCATTTTCTTCACCTTAAACGGAGCAAAACTTGGTAGGAAAATTAAATTTCTCTTTAATTCTAATTTTGTCAATTTTCAGATTACTCTTGTTCGATCAAGGATGTTGACAACCTTTATCCTATTGTAAGCATTTTTGGAGAGGATTCTAAGGTGGTTGTCAACTTTGGTACGAAAGAATTCTTGTTTAAGAAGTAATTATTAGGAAGAAAGAAGAGTATAATAATATATAAATATGGTTATAGTTAGTTGATATTATTTATTGCGAGTTTGTTTTGATTGCAAATATTTATTGTATCTGTTTTTTGTAAAATATGTAGTTATGCAATATAAAAATGTAATTAAAATAATAATATGTATTTTGTTTTTAAGAGTTTATTTAGGTGAAACAATATTTTCTGAAATTTTTGAGCTTAGAATTAAACAAAATTCCAAATTGACCACAAGGTACTATTATTTAGTGATTTTGAAAGATGACGAAGGTACTTTTTTAGGTTAGGTCCACCAAAAATTTCGCAAATTTTTTTTTATTTTTAGGAAAAATTAGCCATCTTTTTGTTCCAAATGTGAAAGAAAAACAATATTTTATCACAGTCACATTCCATTCAAATGTCTCCAGGCCTTTAGTGATTTAAATTATTGCCACGCTTTACTTTATTTTATCTGAATGTCACGTTTTATACGTATAAATTGAATTGAAAATAAAAAAAACCATTTTAATTATAATTAAAAATTTTTAAAAATAATAATATGTAAAGATTCATTTTAGAATTTAAATTTTTAAAATTTTGTACTTAAAACATTTAAAATTCAATATATATTAATTGGAATATATTATTAAACTATATATTATAATTAAAAAAGAAAAGGAATGAAAATTTAAAAAAAAAATAAAACAGAATTTCTGATTATCTTTTGTTTATTTGTTTTTCTGAGGTGCACACTTCTTTTTTGGGAGAAGGAAAAAAAAACAGAATTTTTGTATTATGTCGAGAAAGAACAGAAGCAACAACATTTAGAAGAGAGTGAATAAGTATGTACATAAAATATTTTTGTTTGTGAGGAAGAGAAGGTTAAATTGTTTTTGAAGTTTTTCATTCTTCTGCTCTAAAATATTAAAAAAAAATTTTTTTTTGAATTATTTTTCAACTATTTACCAATTAAATCTATCCTTCCAACAAATTTTTTTTGTTAAAGTTTATTATCTTCTCCTCCGTCGAACATCTTCAACAAATTGCCACGATGGAAGTGCTTCATCACCTCCAACAGATCCAGGTGCACAATAATTATTCCGAATATAATTTAAAGAACATTTATTTGTGCTGAAAAAGAAATAATTTTCTTAAACTTGTCTCTCAATCTCTAATAATATTTTTTATAAAATAATTTGAAAATAAAATTATTTAAGGCTTCAATTAAACTTTTAATTTTCAATTAAAAATTTGTAGCAATTCCCATTTTTGTTAAATTTTTATTTAAAAGTGCAGCGGATTTACATATAAATTTAATTAAAATCTCTCCAAATAAGGAGACATTTTTAGATTAAATTGAAGGTGGTAAAACAAAACTTTTTAGGTTTCTTTTCTTCAAAAAATTTTTTTGTTTAAATTAAATTTTAAAAACAATTTTTTGTTCTTTTAAAAATCGGATTAAATTTAATTGTTAATTTATTTTAAAATCTTAATTTTAAAAATAAAAGGACGAAATAAATAAGTTTAAAAATTTTAAAAATTTAAATAAATTACCAGCACTCCCAAATAATTCCTCGTCTCTTTCTTGAAGTTCCCCCACCAACAATTTCAGAAATTGAAGAAGAACCTCGTCTTGCACGAAATACCATTCCAGTATTTTTGTAGTAATTATCGTAAAGTTGTTCTGAAAATTAAAGAGATTAATTATTTATTTTTAGATTACCCCCCCCCCCCCCCTCAATTTAATTTAAAAATTTATTTTTGTTTTTTCTTAAATTTTTTGTTTTTCAACGATCATTACTTTCTTTTTTGTTTTTTCCTTTCTTAACTTCCGTTCACCTTTTTTCTATCAAGGCCTTTTTATTTTCCCATTAAAAAGAAGTAAAGAATTTAAAAGTGCAATATTTAATATAGAAAATCGCCAACAAAAAAAATAAATTTTTGTGACCAATCTAGAAGGGGAAGGGGGGGGGGGAGAGGGGGATACTTTTGTTTTCTCTCATTTGTTTTTCTATCAATGCCACCAATGGGGAAATAATTTTTTAAAAGAAAAACACCAAAAAATGTCATTTATTTACTTAAAAACAAAAAACTTTTTTATATGCCATTCTTTGAATACCCACACTTTTTGGAGGAAAAAATATTATTTAGAGAATGGCACGACCTGCCTATTAATTTATTTTTATATAGCCCTATTAATAAAAAAAGAAAAGAAAGAAAAAATATTTGGACTTGATGAACTTATTAAATTAAATTTAAATAGAGTAAGTACAAAGAATATACAAAATTAAAATAATTTTATTAACGTGCATTTATTTAATTTAATTTAATATTTAAAAGTAACAATTTAAATATTTAAATTAAATATATATTTTAAATTACGTAATAAATTAAAATTTTGTTAAATTGGTAGTTCTCTCAAAAAAATTATTTTTAAATTATTTCATTTAAATTACTTCCTATTTATTGTTAAAGATGGAATTTAGAATATATTTAAATTGTTATTTTTAAAAATCAAAAATTAAAAATTAAAAATAAAAATCAAACCTCGAGTAGGTTGTAGATATTGATGATTACATACAGTCTTTAATGCATTAATTAAGAGACGTCCACTGAAAATAAATAATTAAATAAATTTATTTTTCAAAAAAAAATTTTTTTTAATATTTTCTTACAAAAAATTATTTTTTATTATTTTTCTAAAAATAATTTCTTCCAAGTTCCAAAATAGAAAGAAAATATAATTTTCTAATTTAAGAAATAAATTTTTTTTTGCAAAAAAACTTTCCCAAAAAGATTTTAAAAATAAATTTAAAAAAATTCGTCATTTTATTTTAATGGAAAATAAAAAACATTAAATACCAAATTCGGTGTTCTTCAAAATCATTCGGGAAAGGATTTTCAGTCTCCGCATTTGCCACCATCGGAATAATCAAAGCTGCAATAATTATTTGAAGAAATAAAAATGATGGAGGAGGGAAACAATTAATTCGTTGAAGATTTTTTTGGTGAATTTTAAAAGAATTAAAACAAGAAGAGGAAGAAAGGAAGGAGGAGGAAGTTGGGGAAGAATGAAAGAAGGAAGATTGTTTTTGATTTAAATTGTTGTTGAATGAAGATTTAGTTGTTGAAGAATTGAATGAAGAATATGTTGAAGAAGAAGAAAATAGAGAAGAACGTAAATATTTGGGAATTGAAGGGAAGGAGGGGAACGAGGGGAAGTTAATTTTGGAGAAGAACATTTATTTTAATATTAAATATATTCCCTGTTAAAAAATTAAAATTAAAAAATGATTTACAGGTTCTACATATATAAAGTATATATTAAGATTTAAATATTTTTAAATAACGGGAATTAATAGAAATGATTATTAAAGTAAATTTCAAATTTTTATCCATAACTCCAAAGGATATACCGCTAATATGGAGAGAAGTGACAAAAAGATATGAGTAACAAATAAATTGTAAAAAATACAAAAGATATCTAACACATAAATTGAATATGTATATAAACAAGCTTTTGGATAATGAAAAAAAGTTTTTTTGTAATATTTCAAAATTTAAAAAAAAATCATTTCCGGTATTTGTTATAAACTCTAAAGAATATTTTAGACTATAGTTTATACTAAATTGCGTGAATACAAAAAATTCGTGTAAAAGGGCTTCGAAGAAATAAAAGGTAAAAAAGAAAAAATAGTCTGTAAGGGAGGGTGATGATTTGTGAAGACTTTTAAAAATAATTTCTTTCTTTTTTTAGTAAAAAAATTAAAATAAAAGTGACAATTCTTTTTAAGTTTAATTATTTTTTATTAGATTAAAGATCGCGTCATTTACATATAGAATAAATATATACTTTTATATATTCGTTAATTGTCTTTTTAATTTAATAAAAATACTTCCAAGTTCTTTTTTTTAATATAAAATTTAATTAATAAATTTACATAAATTAATTTATATATATTTTATTTAAATTATTTTATGCAAAAAAAGACAAATAAATATGCAAATAAATATATAATACATATTTTTTGTTAAAAAATTATTTTGTCAAAATTTAATATAAAGCTAAAAGAGAGGGGGAAATGTTTAAGATGGTAAAAAATAAAAAAAAATAATTTTAAAAATTAATTTATTTTTTAGATTAGTAAGTAGTTCACTTATAAAAAAAATTCCAAAATAAATTTTATTTAAAATTTTTTTAATAATTAATCTTTTATAATTAAAGTAGATCCAAAGAATTATGTAAATAAAAACAAATAATTATCAAAAAAAAATTAAATATATAAATAAATAATTATTATTTTCTAAATTAATTACCTATGGAAGTAATGAATTATTTAATTAATTAAATAATTAATTTAAAAAATAAACAAAATTTTATTTTCAAAAATATTTTTATTAAAAATGATTGTCGTCACTAAAAATTAAAGAAACAAGGCGCGGGAAAAAGAAATTTTAAAAAATTATATGGAGGCGTAGTAGCTCTCCAGGTATGTTTGGATATATTTCTTTTGTTTTAAATTTGTGGGAATTTTTTTTTGAAAATTAAAAAAAAAGTCTGTCAAAAATTAAAAAATAATAAAATTCAAAATTTTGTTTTTAAAAAATAAAATTTAAATTGATAAATGAGAATACACGCAAAGTTTTAATTATATTAAAATGTTAAATTAAAAAAAAAGGAAAGAAAAGACCTTTGCAAAAAAAGAGAACATTTTTGTCAACGGAAATAGAAATTGTAGCGGAAATGTGTTAAATAAATAAATGTTTTGTTTTCAAAATAATTTTTAAAAACATTTTTATTTATTTAAAATAAAACTTTAAAAACAACTTGTCTAGAAAAACATTTTAAAATTCCAAAACATATCAAGTTTATTTAAATGTTTTTTTTAATTTAGAATTTGTTTAGATTATGTTCGGAAACATTGTTTTTATAATTGTT